GTTACTTGTTTGCTGGGTTCATTCTTGTACCTTAAAAAAAAGCATGAAAATCTGGTCAAATCTATAAAAAGTATAAACAAATCATAGATAGTGATGGAAAATATGAGAAACAGACCTAAACAGTTATTAAAATTGAACTTTCTTGGCATATATCTAAAGCCAGACTGTGCAGTGTAAAAAAAAGTGAAACCACTTTAAAACTAATATGAAGTATAAAATGATTTGCTTAGATCTCAGTTTTGCTACTGGTATTTCAATTAAGTAAGCAATTAGCTGACTGTGAAACATAAAAAAACAACAACTATTATTGATGTAGATGTATCAGCCCTAAAACTCACTTGTTCATAGAGGCAGGTTTATGCAAATCTCAAGATTAGTGATGTTAAGCTGACAAAATTATCATTCTATGGATCTGTTAGGCACATCGTTATGTTTATAAAACTTGAAAGTGCGTTTCAAATTTAATTATCATTTTGGAGATAGCAATATTGTGATGCTGGGCATAGATCTGATTATATTAACTCACTTGCATGTAAACAAACATAGTCTGATAGGCCAGATTTGTTTAAAATTTAACTAAAATCAAGTGGACTTACCTCTGAAATACTAGTTAACCCAAACTTCTGGATCCCATACACACAAGAATTTGCTGGGATGCATGAGATTTGACCCCCCAGGTACTGAATATGCACCGTGATATACCACATACACAAGGCAAGCGCAAGTACTTTACTTCAAACTTTGTACCATAACAAACTAAACAGCATACAGTTTGCACACAGCTGTCCACAATCAACTTCTAACAGACTTAATCAATGACAATAAATTGCATGAAAATTATGCCACATGAAAGTACTTGGGTATGTCAAAGTGTGCATGTCACTTTTTTTTACAGTTACATTCACAATTTAATTTAAGTGCTTTATTATCAATGTACATGGATAAACTCAGCATCAGAATGTAGATCATAAATCAAAGTTTAATATTATTTATGTTTTAAGTTCTTAATTTTATAAGGAAATATCTAAAAATATTCTCAAACTCCCCTAGTATGAGAACTGTGACGTTTGTTATCTGTGTCTTCCCTCGTCTCTAATGTTTTTACTACCCCTCCAAGAAGTACAAAATTTAATGTACATTACTCATTATAATAATGTCATTATTCAGGCAAAGGATAATTTACGAAGCCTTCAATCTTATTTAGTTTCAGAGCAATAAAATATAAAATCAGATCCCTCTTGCCATGTCCATCTGTCACATTCCATCTCTTTCAGAACTTGCCCATAATCCTCTTTGACATTTAAGACTATATTATTTATAACCAATAGAAAGCCAGAGTTTTTCTCTTTCAAATGATGTATTATATTACACTGTTGTCTGTACAGAGAAATGTCTGTTTTCCTTCTAGTTCAAACTTTATTCCCATGGGAAACACATTGATGAGCTTAGCTGAATTTTTAACAGATTTTGTCGCACACTTAGAATGCATAAAATGCCTTAAACATTTAAAAATGTTCCAATTGTATTGAATTTGTTCTACAATGATTACCTTGCTGGGCATGCATTGTTTTCCTTTACTTGATCAGCTTATAATAATACAGAGGATATAGAGATTTACATGTGAAAGGAATAATGAATGATACAGAGTAAGAAGAGGGTAATGGCAGCTAAGACCACTATATATATATATATATATATATATAGCAGTGGCTGAATGACTCTAATTTGCATTCCAGATCAAATGTCTTAATCGCTTTGTACAGTTTTGTATTGTTTGGGTAGAATCTCAAGATCTGCAGAACTGCAACCAGAAGCCAGTTAAAGTACAACTTTGTGGACCTTTGTATCTTATAACATTATTCAGAATGATGTGACTGAAAAAATACAAATCACTTTACCAACTGAGTACTGTATGAACAATGATTCAGTGAGAACATTTTTAACATCAGAATTTGAAAGCAATATAGTATTAGCCTACACTTTTTTACTCATTATTCCATGTAGGACTTTTATTAATTTTGCTTGCTTTGTGTCACTTTCTACCAGATCTGTCAGATCTTCTCTTTCAGGATACTTTTGTGTCAGCTTTGTGTTACTTCGTATTTTCACTGTGTTCCTCCATCTTTAATGTTATTTTCTCCTTGTTCTGTGTTATCCTTTTCATCAGCGTTATTTTCTCTATGCTGTTTTTTCCATTCAACTTTATTATTCCCTCCTCCTGTATGTTGTTTTCTACAAACTGTTTTGCTCTTTCTCTTTTCTGTGTTATTCTTGTTAATAGTTATGTTTTCTTTTCCTGCTTTATGTAACCCCTTTCCCTGTCACTCTCTATTGTAGTTTTATTTATCCTAATATTATTATTTTCTCACTGTATTATTAAAGACCACACAAGTGAATTTTATTTCTGTAAATGATCTCATGTAATATAGGTCAAAAGTTGCTCTGTGTATTATTATTTATGATATTAATATTATTTTTTCTTACCTGAAAGAGAATGATAGTACTACATCATTAAAACTGTTTGGAAGAAAATGTAAATGATGTATTTAGGGGGATTTGTACACTTTATGGAAGGTATAGTTGATTTTGTACAAATAAGTTTAAAGTGTATTCCTTAACGTCTTTCAGTTGGTGATCAGGAAGACTTTAAGGAAACATTTTATTTTTACATATACATCCAATGATTTACATCTGATGTAATACATATATATATATATTTTTTTTTTATTCTACACAGTAATTCCAGATGACATTAATGATATGTCCAGAATAACCTCCAATTCAAGATTTGAATACAACTTAGAAGAAACCTACCTCTTGGAAGAAGCTGACTTTAATGCCAATATTGAAAAAGTTAGAACAACCAATAATAATACAGTGGTGCAGCCATCATCATAGATTTCAAATTGAATTAATTGTTGTTGATCTAGCTGGCATTAAAAGCAGTCTTGTATTTTACTAAACCACACATTATTGTTTGTGTGATATGTGTATGTCTGTTATTCACATATTTTGCAAGAGTTCAAAAGAAAGATTAGAGATAGCAAACTAACTTTTTCTTATGTTGTGCTCCTGTGTGCAATAGTCATTATCTTGATTTTCACAAATCAAGAATAAAATATTTAGTCAGCATTCAGCTTTATGTGGTAAACATACTAGTAGTATTGTGGATAAGTGATTGACTAAAAAAGAATTGGAATTTTATGAAAGCAGTATTTTGAATATCATATTTAATTAATTTATGTCACTCACTTTAACTGTGTGCTTGATACATTATAAAAAGGTCATTTTGAAATCTCAATAAATTAAAACCATTAGACATGACATCAAAGATCTTTAGTTTAATAAAGCAAATATAATGAACTAACATTATCATGTTTGATTGTCAGTAACAAGAATTGTGACTTTCAATCTGTTTAGCCTTGTTGGGGGGGTTGTTTTAAAACTTATCTTATAATGTCAATGAATGAATGAATTTTTAGGACGTTTTTTAGTCATTCAAAGAAATTGTATTACTCGTATGGTGATAAACATGGCGAATGTAGTTTGAGTATTACTGTTTAGCTGGATTTTCTGAGGTAAAGAGATAACATATAATGACTTTATTATGGTATTACAAAGCCAAGTACTTATAATACATTAAAATAAAGAAAAGGATATTATGTTCAGATATTCTGGACTTATCTATTTTTATGTAAAAATCACTCATGCTATAATCTATGAGTGTTTAAGGTTTATACATTATTGGATGATTAATTCTTTTATTTTTGGCACTAACAACCACTCTGATTATTCTTACTTAGTCTGAAATTCAATAATTATCTTACTATATCTAATAAGAATCATAATTAATAAAGAGACAGTTTTAAGATTAAGCATAAAATATTAAAAATTCTATGAAAATGGTTAAATGTTTAATTCTTGTAAACCTTATCTTTGAACAAAACTTGCTCTTTGATTAGCAATTAAACAAACAAGGAAAAAAACAAAACTAAACAATGGATAACTACTTCAGCCACTACAACCTATTAAAAGATCCAGAAAAGATTTTTGTAAGTACATTGAAAATAGCTGATTATTTGTATATTGGTATATTGTTCAAACTCAAATACTTTATAAATGTTTACACAAGAAGAAAGTATTTAGGGTAAAATCTATGCTTTTCACACTTTCATGGGGTTTGAATATCCTCTCGTTAGTTTGCAAACTTATTTTCAGAATCACGGCTATTTTTGGTTATTTGGTCTATTTTCATATAACAGCCATGTTTTTCATTCTTACTTTAAGCATAGCAGTTTATTAATAACATTGTACTCATTGTATTTGAACTGTACAATATAATTTTGATGAAAGGTATCTCAAAACATAGATTCAGCTATATTTATGAAATATAAATTAAAATGGCACTACATAATCAGAAAAACACAGGGTGATATTTCATTATCATAAGCATTTATGTGCTTGTTTTCAAGACAAGGTTTGTTACTGGGAGTAGTGATTGAAACTTAAATTTAATAATCTTTGATGTTGAAAAATGATCACAAATTTTGTATGTGAGAAATAAACATCAGCTGTTGTGGTAGTGATTGCTGCATTATTATTTGTATTTAATTTATTAATAAGGCATTCTGTATGTGTATATATAAATTTCACATTACCATTGCTGATAAATAGATCTCACCTCTCAAGCTTAAAGTGTGTATACAATGTAGCCAGACTATATTAGATGTGAAGTTCGAACATTTTAATTTTATCAAAAATACAGATACTTGATAATTATGTGATATTCAGTTATTCATTATTATCATGTGCCAATGATAACTGATTTTATTCATATCGTTTGCATTTTTTTATCTTTGTTGATGTTATTCTCTTTTTACTCAGTTATGATAATGTTTTTGTATTATCATTTCAAAATATTTTTGTAACATATTTAATTGTTTAATAGTTGATGATTTTAGAAAACTTTTTTTTAGGCATAGTATTTATTTATTTCAAATTGATATTTATAAAATGAAAGTGAAACACAAGTTCGTTATTCTTGATAGAGGTTATTGGATTTGTAAACCTTATTTGATGCATCTGAGTTATTGTAAAAGCAAAAGAAAGATAAGTTGTTATTATATGTGTGTTGAAAGTGTTTTTGAAAATAAAAACAATATTATTATTGATGTTGGTTAATTAATGCAAGATAAAATTAGTTGTGATATTTTGTTGAGCTTGCTTACTTCTATGCACATTTATCATTGAGGAAGTAAGTATGAACAAATTGAACTTTGTAACATTGTATGAAAATAACCCCAATGCATATACATATACACACACACAAATAATAATGTACATATATACATACTCACAGGGCTTTTTTTGAGATGGTAGGCACTGGTACGGCGTACCAGCATCATTTTTCATATTGCAAAATGGAGAGAAAGGTGACAAAACTAACTTGAAAGAGTAATGTAAATGAATGTGTGAATTTTTCCCCTTTGAACAAACCTTTTGTTCACAAGAAGATCAATAAGATACCAAACTAGAAGTGTTACAAATGACAAATTTAAAAGATTATGAAAACTTACTGTTTGTTTGATCATGTATGTGTGAAGCATCAGGTACGATTAGTGTGCCATTAATAGGGAACATCAATGATCACCTGGTTTTAACACCTACAAGATGTGGCCTCGCTTTGATTGATGGGTTTAAATTGGGTAGTGGCAGGTGAGAGCCGGCCTGGGTGGATGTGATACTGAGTTCAAAGAGACTGCTTGGGACTGGGAAACAGTTGACCACAAGCCGAGTTGACTGGTATGCGGGTCTGGACAAAGTCGATGAAGACGACTGACGTCATTAATCGTACAGCATCTTCTCAGCCAAGGTAAAAATATGCGTGTGAGTTTCAATAAATACGTCATTTTGGTCTGACGTGCTCAGTCGAGGTGGTGAGGCCACTTTGAGTGGGTGTGCATTTCTTTTCTACTGTGCTTTGATTTTATTGTGACCGGGAGTGTATATCATTTTCATTGTGTCTTGAGAAAACACTCAAACATAAAAATGAAATGAATTACAAGTTTCTTTTCACCTTCTGTGAATAAGAAAGCTAGAATAAGTGACCGAGGAACAGGGATTAATGGCATCAGTGACAGTTTCTGTTCCTGGTCCATCCGGTGTCCATGAGCTATCTGACAATGACATGCCTAGCTACTGAACTGCCGATCAAAAAATGATTTTTGCAGGAAGTATGATTGGCTGAATATTAGAAATAAGAAACTTGGCTGTACACCTTGCCATAAAATTGGAACTTTTGGAGTGGACACAAAGGCAGGAATGAAAGTTTCTAAAGAATGGGCCAACAATGAAATAACTCATTTTGGTGAAAGTCAACTTTTCAATCACAAGGAAACCGTGAGACATAAAGCTGCGGTAAAATTGTTGGCTGAAACTTAGAAAGAGACCATTTCAAATTTGTGTTTTAAAGCGTTATCTCATTTAAAAGTGATTACCACAAGAATTTTTCGCACAGCATATAAGGTAACAAAAGAAAACCAATCATTTCAAAATTTTGAATCTGAAATAGATTTACAAGAACTAAATGGTATTGACATGGGTTGTATCCTTCACTCAAAGAATGCATGTATTAACATTATGAATCATATTAGTGAGGAAATGAAATAAATACTAGTAAAAGGAATTTTTGATTCTTTACTCAATTGTCTTCAGTCTTATGGAATGAATGAAGATTATCTGAAAGTTATTTACTTTGTGTGGCATGTGATGGTGCAGCTGTGATATTGGGGAGTAAAAGTGAAGTTAAGAAACTGATGAAAGACAAATTTCCTTCTGTAATTGTGTGGCACTGTGCTAATCACAGACTAGAACTGTTGGTCAGTGACACTGTAAAATCAGTCTCAGGGATCAACAAATTTAAAGCATTTATTAATAAACTTTGTCTTGTATCATGCGTTGCCTAGAAATAGCAGAGAACTGAAAGTGTGCATGAACTTGCTGGAGATTCAACTTTTAAAAATTGGCCAAATTTTAAGCACTCAATGGGTGGCATCTAGTTTTCGGTTAATTTCAGCTGTTTGGGAAAACTATGAAGCATTAGTGCAACATTTCAAAGAAGCAAAGCATGATTCAACAAGATACAAAAAAAGAGCAATGTGCATATGAGGCTTACAGCAAAAAATTACAAGCACAGAATTTCTTTTGGATCTAGGACTGATTTGTGATGCTCTTCAAGAAATATCCAAACTGAGTTTGGACTTACAACAGCACAATATAGACTTGTACAAGGCGGATCAAAAGATAAAAGCTCTTGTACAAATTTTTGAAGAAAGACGAATGATTCCAGGCCCATATTATAAATATGCCACAAAAACATCTTCACTTCCGGGGAGTTTCACTTCACAACAAAGATTGCAAAAAGGATTCTCTGATTAATTCAGAAGCTTTTTACAGAATCTTGAAAAAAAACAATCGGAAATAGGTTGCTTCATAGTGAAGATAGCGATATAGTACAGTGTGCTTGATAAAAAACACTGGCATGAAAACATTGATTCTCATTTAACATTCAGAGATGGAGGTCAGAAAATTATCAAAACGACTTCAGCTAAATGAAGGAGATATGATTCGTAGATATCATTAGTATTTTAGTGAAAAGATGGTTCTGGAAAAATTGTAGCAATTGAAACACACACAGAGTACTAATCTTTTTTTTTTTCCAGTGAATGTGAACGAGGGTTTTCGCAGATGAATTTGATTATCACCCCAACCAGATCTTTGTTGATGACAAAAAACATTTCAACACTTTTGTTCATTAAACTTGTTGGACTGCCCCTTCCACACTTTGACCCAAAAAATACGTAGAGTCATAGGTGCTCCAAAAATGTCACTCAGCAGTAGACACCGAAAGCAAGGAACAAAGTTGGTATATTGCATCAGAACATGTTTAAAATTTGGAATTTTCTATAAATAGGTAATTCAGTATGTTTTCATCTCTGAATTTCTTACATTTATGAGTACCAACACAAATCCTAAGATTAATTTCTAACTTGGTAGGGTAACACTCTCTAGCTATTGGTCAGTTCAAAATTAGAGACATCTGTACGTAGATAACTCTGTGTGTAAAAATTGTGAAACAATTATTCCATGCAGAATTTCAGATCTTATAAGAAGCAGATCCACTAAATACTAATAGTCATCTTGCACCTTTTGTTTTATGTTTGTTTATTTAATAAAATGTCTTTCTGTAGTGTTGTCTTATTAACTTAATGGTTAGCTGTGTATCAAAATAATTACCTTTAATAGAATTGTAGGATATATACAACAACAAAAATCTTACTACTAAATATCTAATATTGTATATGTTTTTATGTAAAAATAATGAAATACTACCTGCCTAATGACAGAATTACAAGGAAGCTTAAGTTGACTTAGTGCATCAAAAAAGTAAAAATTCCTATTGAAAATAACTTTAAATATATCCCAAGATAATGCCATCAGTATCTGACGATACATGAATAATCTCTATCATTTTTACATCCTACAATGGCATGGAAAACATGCAACATTGGTAGATCATCAGCTTCTACAATGATTGGAGAGTAAGAATATTTTTCTAGGTACCATTTACCAGCCTAATGCACTTTCAAAGTTCGCTGCTATGTCCACCATGAAGAAACACAGGGTATGCAATTATATATTTATTTTGTTCTGACCAGGTCATCAGGCTATACATAAAACAACTAAAATTACATATATACCCAAAAAAGAAAATCAATTTCAAGTTTCAATTAGTCATCAGGTCCTACTGTTGATGCAATTATGAGTTTGAATATTCACTGTATTTTTTCACGTCAAATTACACGCTTGATAATGCAGGTGCAAGCCATTCAAAGTTGAGGCTGGCCTGAATTTGGTGGCAATGCTTGGAAAGTATTACTTAGGAAAAAGCGGTCAT